TTTTTGATACTCTATCACAGTAACCGAGATAATTGAGCTCAAAGTTAGGGGTGATTTGAAGTTAAAGGCTCGAAGTTCAAAAATGAGCGATTTTTGAACTCGTAACGTTGAGCTCAATTATCTCGGTTACTGTAATAGATATCAAAAAGTTGTCAACTGATAAAATGTTTATCATTTTATCACTAGCATTTTATCAGCTGGTAAAATTTTGATATCTTACAGTAACCTAGATAAATGGGCTCAAAGTTAGTTTGCAAAATGAGCGATTTTTGAACTCTTAATTTTGAGGTCAATAATCTCAGTTACTGTAAGAGATATTAAAAAGTGATAAACTGATAAAATGTTTATCATAATATATTGAGTAACATTTTATCAGTTTACCACTTTTTGATATCTCTTACAGTAACCAAGATAATTGAGCTCAAAGAAAACAACTATATTTCCAAAAAAAAAAAATTATCGAAAATTTTCAAATTTCCCGCCAAATCAAATCAACCAAACCTGATAAGTGGCCTCATCAAACACCCGATCCTCCTGTCTCAACTGCACTAATCTCGCTATAATCTCCGCTTTTTTATCCAAAAACGGCTGGCAACACTTTAAAAAGTCGGCATACATTCCGATCGCTTTGCTCATATTCGGTTTCTGGGAATCCCATTTCTGGCATACTGTATCCACTTCTTTCAGGAGCATCTCGTGAATCGGAAGGATTTGGAGCAGGATTTTTTTAATTTGAAGAACCACATTCTCCTGGCCGTTGTGTGGTCCCAGGAGATTGTCAGTTTTGTGTGTAACACTGTACAATTTCAGGAATTCCGGGTAGAGCTGCAAAAATGGGAGGAATTCAGTGGTGGCCTAACTGGTGGCCGAACTTTCGCAAGTTGAGTTTTCTAGGCCACCATGTTAAAATGGCCTAGAAATCACTTCAGATGAATATCAGCCTATTTCTAGGGCATTTATCATAACGGCCGAACTTTTGCAAGCTGATTTTTCTAGGCCACCAAGTGTCAAAACTGTATTATCGGTTTTAGTTGAGATTTTGAGGCGAAATGAGTGGGAAATTTGAATTTGACGCCGGATTTTGGTCATGGAACATGCGGAATAGGGCCTTACTTGGTGGCCTAACTTTTGAGTTTTCTGGGCCACCAACTTTTGTGCCCTAGAAATGACGTTATATTCATATGGTGGATTTCCTAGGCTATTTTAGCATAGTGGCCTGAAAAGCTCAACTTGAAAAAGTTAGGCCACTATGTTAAAATGGCCTAGAAATGAACAGATAGGCATCCGACAAGTTTCTAGGTCATTTACCATGGTGGGCTAACTTTCAAAAGTTGGGTTTTCTAGGCCGCTACTTTAAAATTGTCCAGAAAACAAGCTAAATGAATATCAGGTCATTTCTGGGCCATAAAAGTTGGTGGCCTAGAAAACTCATTTTGCAAAAGATAGGCCATCATAGTAAAATAGCTTAGAAAACGAACCCGGAGCATGTTAGGCAATTTCTAGGTCATTTACCATGGTGGCCGAACTTTTGAATGTCGATTTTCCTAGGCCACCAATTTTTTAAACTTAGAAATGACGTTATATTCGCACGGTAGGTTTTCTAGGTCATTTTAGCATGGTGGCCTAACTTTTGCAACTTGAGATGTCTAGGCCACCATGTAAAAATGCCCGAGGAAATGCACGAAATGAATATTAGGCAATTTCTAGGTCATTTAAGATAGTGGCCTAATTTTTGCAAGATGAGTTTTCTAGGCCACCACTTGATTGCTTAGCATTGTTTTAATCGATTTTTCGATTTACCTCAGCCATTTCCTTCAGATACTGTACGTAATTGGCCTGAACTTTCAAAAATTCAACAGCCGCATAGTGCAGCTTCTTCAATCGTTGATCCTCCTCCTCTGATCCTGTATCATAATCAGGAATGGGCGGGCATTCAAATACAAAATCCGCTGACTTCGCCCCATTTGAAACAGTTGAGGAAGAAACAATCGATGATCGATCATCTGATGTCATACTTTGGATTCTCGAGCAATCATCTGTCGATTGGGATGAGTATTCGGATGATGGGACCGGGAACAGAGAGTTGTGGCGACCCTGAAAATTGGAAATAGAGCGAACATTGAAAATTGTCAAATTTCAGATGTAATGCCCTTGAAGTGGTGGCCTAACTTTCGCAACTTAGGTTTTCTAGGCCACGACTTAAAAATGACCTAAAATGCCATGACATGCACCTGGCGTGTTTTCTGGGTCATTTTAACGCGGTGGCCTAAAAAAATCAATTTGCAAAAGTTAGGCCATCATGTTAAAATTACCTAGAAAACACACCAGTTGAATATCAGAGCAATTCTAGGTCATTTCTCCAAAAGTTAGGTCATCACTTAAAAATGACCTAAAAATGCGCTAACATGCACCTGATATGCTTTCCAGGTCATTTACCATGATGGCCTGACTTTTGCAAAATGAATTTTCTAGGCCACCAACTTTTATAGCCTAGAAATGACCTAACATGCACCTGGAGGGTTTTCAAGGTCACTTAAGATGATTACCTAGAAAACCAAATTTGCAAAAGTTAGGCCACCGAGTCAAAATGACCTAGAAAACACACAAGATGAATATCAGCCTATTTCTAGGTCATTTGACATGTTTTTTTTTTCAAAATTTGGAATTCACCTAAATTTGAAATGTTCAGAAATTCGTGATTTTTATTGTAGTTTTAGAGGTTCATCTTTAAAATTCGGGTATTTTTTGAAATTTCAGATTTTGGAATCATTTTAAAAAATTGATTTTGTGGAAATTCTGAAAATTTCAGACTGCGAAATTTGAGTTTTTCAGAAAAAGAGAAGTCCTACCATTAACATTTTCACTCCGTCATAAATCAATCGTTGTACATTGAATTGGACCATGTTTTGGATTTTTATAAATTTTCAGATTTTTCAAGAATCACTGAAAACTTGATGGCATCATCATTATCAACGAAAAGAGGATTACCGTAAAACCTGTACTAGAAGGGCCCCTGTAATAGAAGGGCGCTCCGGAGGTGCCTTGGAACAATAGAAGGGCCGGCCCTTCTAATACAGGCTTTACGGTATCAGAAAAAGAAGAAACAAATTTCACAAAAGAGAAAGCTGAAACTTGAAAATTTGAGAAAAAGAAATCGGACAAATCGAAATTTGAAAACAAAAAAAAACGTTTTTATACAAAATGTTCCTATTTGTTTACAATTTCGACGTTCACATGATTCTAGACTTCCGATTTCCAATATAATGATGCCATAATTTTTTTCGTTTTTTTTTCGAAATTTATCAGAGATTTTTGTGGAAATTTTGAAATTTGAATTTGATTAATTCTAGTTTAAACTTTGACGTAAACACTCTAATAGAACTCCACCCGCATCGTCCACTTTGAGCCTACATATCTAGTTTCCTGTGAAAGATTTCAAAAAACGGTCAACTGATAAATTGTTTATCATGATATCAACAACATTTTATCAGTTGATCGCTTTTTGATATCTCCTACAGTAACCGAGATATTTGAGCTCAACGTTACGAGTTCAAAAATCGCTCATTTTTGAACTTCGAGCCTTTCGAACTTCAAAGCACCCCTAACTTTGAGATCCATTATCTCGGTTACTGTAAGAGATATCAAAATTTTGTCAACTGAGAAAATGTTAGTGATAAAATGATAAAAATTTTATCAGTTGACAACTTTTTGATATCTATTACAGTAACCGAGATAATTGAGTTCAAAGTTAAGGACTCAAAAATTGCAAATTTTTCTTTCTTCCAGCCTCTAACTTTAAGCTCAATTATCTCGGCTCCTATAAAAGCTATGAAAATTTTGTCAAATGACAAAATGTTACTGATATTATGATAAACATTTTATCAGTTTATCACTTTTTGATATCTCTCACAGGGACCGAGATAATTGATTCCATTTTTTGCATCAATTTTCACTTTAAGCCTACATATCTAGTTTCCTGTGAAAGATTTCGAAAAACGGTCAGCTGATAAAATGTTTATCACGTTTTCAGTAATATTTTATCAGTTGATCGCTTTTTGATATCTTTTACAGAAAATGAGATACATGGGCTCAAATTTAACGATTCGGGTGGCGTTCTATTAGAGTGTTCAAGGCAAATTCGATGTTTGTTTCCAGAAAGAAACAATGCATTGAATAATTGAATTTTCAAATTTTCTAAAAAAAAAATTTCGAAACAGTAATTTTCAAAAATTTCTAACGTTTTAACAAAGCAAAAATAATAGTTCCGTGTGTCTGTGTGTCCGCATGTCTTCCCCCCAGAAACCTACCATAATATACTCTAAAAAATAGCTAGAAAATGTGCAAAAAAAGCAGCAAAAAGGAAAAAATTCCAGAGAAAAAAAAACCAGAAAAAAAGTCCTGTGATTTTTCTTTAATCTGAAAAAACAAACTTTTCGATTATCTCTCAATTTGCCGACATCCGATGGAATTTCATCGATATTCGACTGTCGTCGCTGCGGCTTTTTTCCATTGGTCTTCGATTGTTTGTCTCTGAAACGAATATTTGATTTTAGGGTCATTTTTTGACAAATTTGGCTGAAAATATCCAAAAAAAAAATCGATTTTTTCTTAAATTTTCTCAAAAAAGTAATCTTTGAAATTTGCATTTTTGGGTCATTTTAAGCCGATTTTATTGTCGGAATAAAAAAA